GAGAACGACGTACACTGCACGACAAATAAAAAAAAGGGCGGGAAAGATCATAGACGAGATGAGTTCGAGTACAATGGATGAAAAATGGGTTTATTGGCAGTCGATGACAATAAATACAATTTTGCGGTGAAATATGGCGATTTTTTGTTCAGCCGGGAAACATCAAAGTCGGATGCTACTATCACTGATGAATATTTCCCGCCCGATGAAGGTCACGTGGGTGTGATCCAGGAAGGACGCGTAAGCCCTGCAAGACCGTTCTGATTACGATCGTGTCGTTAACTTTCCGTTTCTCACTGATAGGGGATATTTGAAAAATTGAGAAGCAATTTTCGCATCAACACTGTTAATTTTGATCCCAATTTCTACACAGTGATAGAACTCGTGTTTTACGCCCAGAACTATATGATTTTTCGAAGATTATTTCATAAACAAGTGAATTTGTGTACTTTGCAGATGAACTATTGAAAGTACACTGGGAAGTGCATATGTATATTTCCTGTTGTTCTTACCCCCTGATTGTCAGACTCGTCTGCCGCGTGACCGCGAAACTGATTTGACGGAGTCCGTTTTAATGACGATATGAACTACCCGTTTCAATATATTTTCTTGAAACTATCTACATATTGCTAGAAAATCATAAAACTTAACAATCGCCATGGGAACACACCACGTGATTAAATCAAAGGCGTACATACTTATGACGATAAAGGGTCTGTAAATCAAGGCACATACGAGAGTGGCTATCAATGCGTTTCCATAGAAACCCGTAAAAATAAATGATATTTTACAGCAAGTCTAATATTAGTTCCAGTTCTGAGTAACAACAGTTGAAAATTACTGCTACAAATTTGACGGTCTGATACAAAATCGAAAGTGCTGACCATCAATTCGAGTCTGGAGATAAGACATGATCACATCAACTTTGACCCATAACAGAGAGACCACGTGACAGAAGTGGTTACTCGTACGTTTATGTCACATGCCCACACCACAGAAGTGAAATATACTAGTAGTTGAGCATAAGAAAAATTGCATTTTTTTTCCCGATTATCGTGAAGAATTTTGTTTATTATTGTTTAATCTGACGTCACTCACAATGTGTGTACGACGTACGACGACCGCCACTTCTTAGTCTCGTGCATTACCCGAATCGTCACACCTGGTGTTTTCGGGGGAAATCACTATTAACTTGAATGACACTGACACAGCAATTTCATGGCAGAGTATTCCAGCTTGTGGCAAGTTTGGGAAATCAGTCGTAATAACTGAACTTGAAATTCAGAACTTGAAATTCAGTAAGGAGTGGCGAGCCAAACACTCTCGCAATTAAATCGATCAATAGGCACGTGATAGCGGTCATGTTGACAACGCCACTATAGCCACTAAAATAAACCAATGTTGCTTGCAGACGGAAGAGAGATGCAGTGAAACACACAACCATTGGTACGTGGGACAATATTGCGATTATGTCAAATTCCAACACAAATACCAACCAACCTTCAATCCAACTCTGACATCTCTCTCCGTCCGCTACATCCGGAAACTTCAGCGGAAAATTATGACATTTAAATTTTTGTTGTCACGACACTATTAGAAGCAGTTCGACTAAAAGTCATAAATACGAAGATGCGAGCGGCGTAATAGTTTAAACCAACCGATTAGCGTGAATTGCCGCCGCGACCAACCTTGTAGCATGGCGGAGTAATATCAGATTCATTCGTAGTATTAAGATCTGACTCAATTAGCTGGGTGTTACGCAGACCCCATGTTAACACAAATAGGTTAAACAGTACACATGTACAATACTTGGAGATCCATCGAGTCAACCCCGAGATGGACTTATGTCAATAACTTTTGTTTTGTAGTTGTTTTGCCATCTTAGCGTCAGCGGTGCGAGAAAGACTAAATTCAAAATGATAGGATCAAATGATACGTAATCAAACATTGTGACTTCTGATTTCACTGCAATCGTCATATATAATAATAATGATAAAACTAATAAATGTATTTCATTCTTAGAAATAGTTTCCATTGATTGACAGCAACAACATGTCAGTAATAACATACAATGCTATGATACCACAAAACGCGCAGCATCAAAAACGAAAACGATTGATGTAATATTTGTGGTCGCGCGTTCTAACCGCTGGTTGGGGCGCGTCTCTGTTCGAACGACTGAGTGACAGAGATTCACCGAAGCCATCCAATGTGACGTAATGATAACGTAGTAACCACGTGTCGTGCGGGGTTTAAATCTTCCTGGATTCTCTACACGTCTTCGTTCTGATCGTGCGGCCAGGTGTGAGTCGTCACGTGATAACGTTCTCTGTTACGTGTACACAGATTCACAACCACACCTGTTTTCAGCTCATCTCAGCTCAATCACAATCGTGAAAATATGACGATTGCGTAATTTCATCCAAATATCAATATGATCGAACGTCATTTTTACAGACAGATTTACATATATCGATCAAGTTTTCGTATTACCAGTACATCAAGAAACTAAAAAAAAACATGCCTATTCAAATATGCTGCTTCGATACTTATGAAATTAGTTTAAGAAATTATTTAATTTATTTGATTATTTATCGCAAGAGAGTCAATTTACGTTAGAGATTGGTGCACTCTACCCCGCCATGTGTCGCCCAAAATTTGCGCCCCCGGACTAAGTAACAAGGGCTTTGCGCTTTAAGCGTTCCACTTAGAACACAGACTGAGTACAGTTTTTTTTTATCCACTAGCTAGCTAAAACAGGTAAAATTACCACCGTAATTATCGTAATCAACGATAAACTTAATTAGTATGGACGCTATTACCCGAATGCCACGCACCTGCTGGTCGCAATTTAGTGTCATCTTATCATATAACCAGCCTGCTCCCAAAATATGTATCCCTCATTTTCACGATAAAAGTGCAACTCATATCTGCAGGCGTACTTCAATTACGCAGATCGTGTACACATCATTCTCACTGGCCCTCTAGGTGTATTGCCACGATACTTTATAATTTGACGTTAAGTACCCCATTTTTGCGAAAAAAAATACACCGGGGCATGCAATTTACTATATTTTTAAAAAACTATTAAGACGATAAAACGTTTTTCAACTGACTAGTGCTGTAGACATTACGATGGCTACTGGGTGTTGTTTATTTCCGTGTTATGCACTACGAATTTAAAACAACGCAGCGTATCAATGCAAACTAAATAGTAATGTATTCCTTCATTCGTAAATAAATTCTCTGTAGTTTGAATCGGTATATTTACCATTCCGGGTGTTGTTGTTTTTTCAACGTTGAAGTTATTACTGAATATATACCTAACTAACTTTTCCTGTACATATGGTCCCAACGTCGTAGCATATACAGTGTCTTGCGCAAAGCGACTATCAAATTTAGTCGTACATTTCTGGAAATGTTGCGGTTTTGTTAGAATATTTGAGCAACTACACAGCAGATCCGTAATAGGTAGTGAGTTTCCAATTGGTCTTTGTATCTCTCTCTATAATATACATATATATATATATATTCTTTTCAGTCGAAAATCTATACATGTTAAACGTGAGAATTCTTTTGACTTGTCGTAGCACCGGTTTAGAGAATCCCCGAATGTTCCATTCCCGATTATGAAATAAACGCTGCAATTTTACCATATTTTGACCTATTGTGAAAAAATAAAACTGTTGTTTCCCGGATTATTCCTAAACCAAACAACTATCCTACCAATAATACTTAATGGTGCATGCGCCACGGTGACGTCATCGCATTCGTTTAGAACTATTTTCTAGAATAGTGTTTGCGTTGAACTATACAGAGGTTGCCCAACGTTTTAGTGTCGAGCGATCAGCACATGCCGCGTACGGTACATGCGTAATGGACCCAACACTGTCACGTTGTACCAAAGAAAACACGGGTCCCCGACATCAGCATACGCAATAGGCCCGTATGTACACAGGCAGCGTGTAATTAAAACGTCTACAACGAAATTAGCTTCACACACACACTCTCTCTCTCTCTCGCTACAACGTGGTTTATAGCAGCCGACTCGTTTTGTCACTACGATCGGCCTAACACAATGGGAAAAGTATGGGTACAAGTACGGTACCTATTAGGGAGACACAGATGGTCGGTGTACGCTCTGTGTTACCCCCACTTCGCCGCCTCCAAACCCCGTTCGTTATGCAACGCCGGTAATAAAACCAGCTTTCTCAAGAACATCGCGCCTAGTTGTAAAGTTATAAAACCATTAATGCCTAGAAGGAATGCAAAACAGGTAAATAATCGACGGTCGGTCTCTCTGATCTCGAGTGGTGCCCGAAACAAGAGTCGAACACCCCCAACTGAGCTGTAATCGGTGAAAAAAAACCATTAAAAGACCCAGTTCCTATCCTGTATACTCGGAACATGTTGTGTTATTAAAATCGTCGTACGCCAGGAAGACACAGTCTTGTACATAGCAATACGCGATACACAAATCAATACACACACGGGTGTGCGAGACGTGTTCTCACAACATGAAATGTTATGATAATAACAACAACACAGTTTCTCAGCCCACATAACAAACTATATCCTCCAGGAACTTAAATTATCTGTCTTAACACGGGAGGGGAATCGGTAAAATTAACCTAACAGCGTGTTGCTACTTACATACATGGTAGCTTATATACCGTGTACAAGACTGACCTCCTTGTTTTGCCTGTGGCTATCGGGGTTGACAACTCACTGACAGTTTTGTTGCTTGTATCTATGCGTGTACGCTAATTTTTAGAAGGTCCGCAAACAGTTCAAGACCGTGGTCAAAATTCAGACACATTTTTGAGATAGCCAGCCGAATAATATCTGTCTGTAAGTCCAGTGGGCATGTGATTAACCGTTCTTGTGCGCTACATGCCGAAGTCGATTGTCAGTGGTACAGCGCGACAAAATGAATCGGACAAAACAGGTCGAGCAATCAAATGGAAACGCCAGGATAAAAATAATTAATGGTATCTTACCTTCTGTTTTCGGTGTTGTAGAATTGGTGCTGTTGTTGTTATTATTGGTGCCGATGGGGCTACCTTCGCTTTTGGCTGGCGAGCGGCTTTCACTGCCAGTACTGGTTGGACTCGTAGCTGCCAAGTTTGTCTTTGAGTTCTGGAGTCGACACGCTGACGAAGAGGACGAAGACATTGGCGACGAGTAAGAATTGGTGTTTTCATACGGATATGAACCCGAATATCGCTGTCTCTGTGTTATCGTGTTGTACTTGAGATTTCCGTACTCGACGTGGTGTATCCCTGTTCCGTTGGTTGTCGGGTATCCATTCGTATGGTAGCGATCGTATCCTTGCCTCGCCTGAAACGGGTAGAAATTTGAGTTGGACGACATCAGGGAACTGGAGTCATAGTTTTTCTGTGCTCCAATTGAAAATCCGTAGGGATTTGAGTCGTACTCTGTATCGTGAAGTCCAGTCACTTGCATCGAGGCATAGTTCTGCTCCGTGCTCGGGTAGTACCAGGCGTTCGTATAGGTGTTTTGATCGCCGCCGCTCGGGTACAGATTTGCTGAAGACGAGTGCAGGCTCATTCCCTGGGCGGCTGCAGATGCCATCGCCGGCTCCGTTGTTTTGGGGATTAGCAGTCCACATTTTGAGTCGATCGGCTGGTTCCCTGCCGACGGGATGTCAGCCGGATTCCGCAGCAATGCTTCGTTCTCCTCCGAGCTGATGAGAGAATTCACACAAAAAGCCGAACCCGCTGTTGTCATTTTTTATGTTCGCCTCGTATATTCACCACGGTAAAGCCAGTCAATACAGTGTCACTAGTGATAAAACTGCAGATGACCCTAATTAGCATAAAAGAAAAGGGTAGAAATTGTCAGAGTCAATGACGAACCAATCACGTCGCTTGTGTCAATGATAAATTTCCCACGGTCGCCACCCATATCAATAATGAATCCCGGGTTCCGTCGTAACGCGTATTTTCTGTAGTCGTAAATTTCGACACTTTTTCCCTCTCGATAACGTTAACTGCGAACACTTCCCTAGCATTTTATGATACATTAATAAACGCTCGCCGTTTTGGATGAATAAAGACTAGTATTTCTGTAAAAAATAACGATCAATCGGAGATTTAGTAGCGACGAGCAAGTCACTGTTTGATTTTGTTGCCTCTTATAACATCGCTTATAGACCGTTACATGGGACAGTCGTCTCCGTGCCCGCATATGAACGTGGGCTCCTGTGGAAAATACGGCCTTTGTCCGCGTTCTCCGAATACTGTGGATCATCTCATAAGGTAGGGAAAGTCACCGCATTTTGTTTTCAACGTGGCGTACGTAATTTTCAATTGCGCGCCTAATCGTGGTGATTGGCTCGCTAGAATCACAATCGATTGTACACGTGCTCTGGAATTCAGTGAAATTCAAGTTGAATTTATTACCGTCGAAAAATAAAAAAAGCTCGACCAACTAAACTATTTGTTAAAATCTGTTCACGTTAGCACATAGTACGGTCACGTTACGATACAAAAAACAACAACACCCACATACCGTCGATATTCGCCGTGACGGAATCAAACGTAACGGAAACGTACTGAGACACTGCGTTTGCCTATAACAACCCAGAACGATTCGTCATCGCATCCTTCTGCGCACTAACTATTAAGACTACGCTTAGAAATGCAAACTCTCCGGTCGACAAGTTAAAAGTACAACATGCATCCAAGTCAATCGGTTCCAGTGGCCGCTCACTAGAAATATTCAACAAGTGAATGAACGTACCAGCTACTAATCATTTAGAAAATGCATGTGAACTTCAACCCGAGGTTTCTTTTAACATAATAAATGGTCGATCACTGAATTCCTATTATTTCCTCACCGCCATGTATATTCAATGTGCGTTGATGAAATGTGCACATAATGGTCCTATGGCGGCGCAGTCACGAGAATGTTCACTTAGCTGCGCGCACACAATACATACATAAAACGCCTTTTCGTTAACTTATCCAACCTGTAGTAGAAATTCCAACTATAAACATGAATATGAAATAACTTTCTCACATGCTTTGAATCGCAATGTTTTCAGTATTTGAACGAGAAAAAAAAAATTTCTGCGTTTGCCCGATAGTGGTCGCTTTACCACAAACTGCTCGTAACGCCTCGTCCTTAGATTATCCCAAGCCAACGCAAAATAATTCACGCAGTTTAATTTATATTAAATATTAAAAAAGGGTTAACATTGTGAACATTATAAATATATAAATGGTCTGAGTTGATCATATGTGTACGTTTTCTTGTTATTGTTTTTTTTTTTTTTTTTTAAATACAGTATATATGTTGGTATGGTTCGACAGGAGAGCGGGTGTCTATATCGGAGAAACACTCAGTTTTAATGCTTGGGGTGGTCTGGTTCGGGTGGCGGTGGTCGGCGGAGAAGGAAGGGTGGTGTTACCGGCTTTCATAACACTGATTCTGGTGACACTTCCCCCCTAATAAGCTGTCGAGATTTTATTGCAAACCAAACACAGGTTTACATGTAACACGTTTTATTGTTTACCGTGGATTGTTTGTAGCTATAAGTGAAGTGTTAGCTATGAGGTTTGTCACGCAGCCGCGAAAGATTGGTTTTACGACTACTTATTGATTTTTGTGCACCAGATTGCGAACAGCTTGGTCTGGGATCCCTTTTACGTTGGTTATTACAGTCAATATTAAGTTATAAAAATATAATTCATTTCACCAAAACGACAGGTTTTTGGGAGCGCTATGTGGCAAACAAAGCTTTGGGTCCCGTAGATGCCGAGCCACGTGTTATGACGTGTCGTGGACCTTACGCAAATTGACCAACGCTTGGTGAAGTTTAATTTAAAATAGTTTATTATTTAACATGCTTCATATGTAATGAACTACTACGCAACAAATCTGTTGTATCAATCCAACTAAACGAGTCTGAGAAAAGGCGGATTCAGATCGAGAAACGACTCGGAAATTGACTTGTTTTCATCGCCCAGGGCGGACAAGATAGTATAGAAAGTGTTAGTGTGTTTACAATGTTGCTTTGTAGGTAATTGTAAAGTAGTAGGGGTTTAAAATAGTGTTGTTGTCCGTCGGACTGCGGAAACACATCGCAACAAGGCAAGATGTTGCACTCGACGGTCGACCCCGATATAATAGTCTGTAATTGAAAAAGGCCCTATTACAGCGACCATATTGTAAGAATGCTCGCTTGATACAAGACGTTTTGAAAAACAGTCGTAATTACTAACTTCTAGCATGAAAAAATGACGTGTGATATAATAACACTTAAAGGGATCAATTACATTATGATGTTAAAAAAATAATATTTACAAAGATTTTTAAATCCATCGTCTAGTTTTCCCGTATTCTCAATCCATATATCTATTGTTTTTTTTCCCTCAAAAATCGAAATTACCTTCTGTGTTTATAAAGTAGACTGCATAAGTGTGTACTTAAACTTGATACACCGTTTGGACTAACATCACAGACAGACCCGATGGCTTCGTATTTTTAGAATTGTACTCCGAGCTATCCGGCTTCTAAAATAACAGGTTCGTTATTTATCTTTTGCCAACAGAGTAGCTAGACAGTGGATAGGGAAGATAGGAAGATTTCTAACCGATTATAAATGTAGAGATAACTCAGCGCAGGTTTCGTTGCTATTGTGAAATGTGACAACGGCGGCTCAGAAAAGTGATATGTATTTCAAATAAAATATATAATATACCCATCAATACATTCCGTCACAACTATCTGTACACAGTTATATTTTTTCAAATTTAATGTTATTTCGTTCAAAACAGACATTTCACAAATGCTCCCTTTCCCGATTTTTAAGCCAGAGGAAAATATTTAAAATAAAGACGGTTGAAGAAATTTCCGACATTGATGTTGGAGAAAAAAAAAACGATTCTGTAAAACGGGGCGTTGATAATCAATTTGTGTCCTTCGAAGCAAAGTGTGGAAATAATCCACGCACGGTGTAGTACAAACGTGCCCATGGATATCACTGTGTGTGAAGTAATTAGTCTCATCGTGACAATGACTTTGACACATGTTATCCCTTTTTAGAATTAGTAAACAACCCAAGTCGCAATTAACACGCCGCGCACGTGCGCTATGGGCTTAACCGTTCTTTGTCGAAGGTCGCCGACGGCAATAAACTCTCTAGAAATGCCGGGAATGGTTCAAAACTATCGCGTAGTTATTAGTAAGATAGCCTAGATTCCATTATACATTTCTTTTTATATATTTTTGTCTGTTATCTAATCGACACGCTGTTATATTGTTTTTACGTGCGTGTGTGTTTATTTAACGGATATATTTCAGAAGACGGTGATTTTTCAAGTTCATGTGAGAGCATCATCTTTGCTCTTTTTTCTTTTCGCACGAAGACGACAACAATATGACATCTCATCGACGAATGCCGATGGTGGCGTTGTTTCCCAAGTTCGCGTCGATCACAAAATATTAGGATCCGCTCCACTTTGTATTTAGCAAATTTATGCACGATAGAAAATGTTCGCTAGTTTTAGAAAGCTCGTTAGATCAATACTATGCCTGATCACAGTCGCTTCAAAAGGGGCGAGGTAAATTGTCATCTCGTACTCTCCCGTGACTCTTCGTAGAATGTCTCCTTCGTCACGTGTTCCAGACTTGTGATATCGATTTAGAGCCACATCACATGGAGGATATGTCTTCCATGGACACATCGAGATAATCTCATGTCAGCCCAATGATGTTACTGGGGGCACTTGGAACGTTGTAACCCACCGAGTGTTAAACACGTGTATTAATTATAAACGCCCTATTCACGTAATCTTTCCAGGGTTTGATCTATATACAGTGATTCCGGATCACAGGGCTCATACACGCGTGGTCCAGATCATCCCATCCTGTTCTTTCCTGGCGATCTCCGTTGCACCAAGAAGCCTAAAGACTGTCCCGGATTTTGCACACAGCGTGTACCCAGTGGAAACATTGATACGTATTCAGTGTAGCTTGGCTACTCTTGACAATTTAGTGAGGGGAAGTATACAGGCACACACACACACACAAAGCAATTACCACCGTATGCTGAGGTTTGACATCTCGATCTGATTTTTCAGACATTTGTCACGAAATCGCGGCGTCACTACCGTCTATTTCATAAATAATATAACAGTGCGCGGTTTAACGACTGTAGCAAAAACAATTGGCAAAAATATGAGTATTCTTTTCATGAGGATTGATCAGCAATGCCTCATCTTGAATAATCACGGTGGCGTAATAAATTCGAATGGCATGTACAACGTGCATTATACACAATGGCGATAATAAGGTTTATATAAACACGTGACATGCCGGGATGTGATAAGTGTTAAAATATCCATCCTCTCCGAACTATATCCCACCAAAGTTTACGGCGGGCTAGACGATTTTCATAAGGTCTCGCCTATGTGCTGATAGAGGTGATACTACCGCGCCGCGCCAAACGTACCACTGTGAAACCCGTATGAGTTCAAACGCATCTCGTCGTGTTCGACGTGCGACCCACGCAGCCTATTAATATATAAACGCGTGTAAAATCACATACACGTAGTTTCTATACACGAGACTGGAACCGCGGCGCGACGAATGTGGCGCTATATCGTATTTGTCTTGTTTAGCCCCCCTCCCCCGAGTAAATTTGAGTTTTCCGTAGAGATTTACCCAGTGTCGGGAGATTACTTCGAGTATATTTTAAGTATATTTTGGTCGGGTGAGAACGTTGTCGGAATGCACTATGCGTAGACCATAGGGTGTTTGATGGTACGAGTGGTATGTGATGGGACATGGCGACCAGGCAGGTCAACTATCTCTGGCAGCAGCAACCACGTGCACCGTGACGGGGACCCTTTGAGCAAGGCATGAAATGTAAAAGCTCAGTATAATGTAAATTCAGCTCTGTCAACATCGAACAATATCTAATAAAGCTTGGAGTAACATACAGTTCAAATGTTCCAATTTTCAAATACGAATCGACATCATAGTACCATGGCTCTAAGAAAAACTACTATCACGTAAACACGTCCGGTATTATGACACACGTGGCGCCGCAATTTCCCCCACGGCAACCGGGTCAGGATCCAACTTAAACGATTATGCAATCACCGTTTTCCCCTCTGCTGATTTCGGAATTAACGCGAGTGAGTATGCATAACATATGGGCTGAGTAAACCAATAGTGTTGCGTCGCATTTCTGCCGTAATACCTCTCTCCCCACGGAGCAGTCAATGTCATCTCCCACTACAAAACACGTGGTCGCATCTATTAACTTTCTGCTAAATGACGTCTTAAATCAGTAATGGCTGACTGTACGAACAACCGGCGTCCATCTCCCAGCTCGGTTGAAGGTGTGAGTCCCCAGGCAATTAAGTTGTTACAAGAAACTCGTTTCCGCTGAAACAATACATCTTTTGTTCAATACTATCAATTTCCATAGAGGACTTGTCATACTCGATTTCATCCCAAAATAATATCCAATCACATTAGACTATTGTTTAGTTAAATTAATGGCATGCAAACGACAATGGACAATTGTTTTATTAGACATCCAAATTATTACAATGACTAACGCCACTTTCTTTCGTTCAACGTCCTCCGAGGACAAGGGAAGGCATGTGCGCTAAACAAATATACCATCTTAATTTTAAGAACGAATCGAAGCAGTTTTCCCATGAAGAGAAATTCAGAAATATTCCTTATGTGACGTTGAAGTTAAATGATTACCAATAATGTTGTATTTTCAAATGCTGACAATTTTTCGCTTATTTGTATTACCAGAATTTGTCCGAACTTACCAAGGCACACATCTTATCGCAATATCTAGATACATAAATTTAACCGATAGACACGTTTCGAAAGGATCATCTAATATTCAAAACCGAAAACGCTCATCACCCAGACGCCAGAAAAAGTGTGGACGCCACCTCACATGTAATAATTCATCGGTGGTATGTTCTGCGCTCACACGATGAGACAGAAATGACAATCTGTTTTTATAACACTGTAGTTGGCGGAATAATTACATTGGCTTATGAATACGCAATGCGGATTGTAATCATGTCGAGGGGGGCGATGGCGAGCTCTCTTATCTGTTTTCACATCGGTAAAGCGAAAAAAAAGTAGAATATCACGTGATCGTAACTTTTTTATCAGTCACTGATCGCCCTAAGTTAGGGTCAGAGTGGAAAAAATATTACTATGCTTTCAGTAATGTGGTTTATCAGAAAAAAAAGTTTTTTTTTCTGCTTTGCTTCATTTTTTTTGCTTTTTAATATACCGCGAACAGAGTATAAATTTTTTCGCCAAATTATATTTTCTACTATTTGATAGTTGATATCGAGTCAGTCTGTAGCGGTGATTTGTCGCATTTAGTTGTCAACGGAACATGCGAAATTAAAGACGACGCCCGACAAATAACCGAGCTGTATACCGTATCGTCGTAAACGGTAAATACTGTGCGTTGCGCCAGAAACCGTTATTGGACGACAAGTAATTCGTTGCTTCCAAAAATTCTGATGAATGTGGATTGTCAAATCAGTGCTTTGCCAGTTTTGTGTGTGTTCAATTAGGTTTCTTAATAGTCATTCCATATCCCATATATTTCGGTAACTTGTATCACTCCGTAGGTAAAAACATCTCATCCCGTTAACGACCGTCCATGCGTCCATCGGCCATATTGTATTTTCACGATTCACAGAGGGACGGATTGCGGCAACCCAACCTCCGTGCATAGCAATAAGTGCAACAATGTAATACTGTAGACTACGTTGAAATAGCTGCATGTAATTTTAGCGGATTTGACTCTTGGCATGAATTAACAGAATCTTAATTTAGCTAAAGTATTCACTATCTCCCTGTGAGAATATACTTTCTGTTAAATGAGCGACATCTTGAATTAGCTAAATTACGGATTAGCTAAATTAGCTAAAATAACATGCTAGCTAATAAGACTAGCTAGCTAAGTATACTATCAACTTTTTATGAAAACTTTTATTAAAATCATTCTGAAACAACAAGTTTTTTTTCTTTTTAGACATACCTATGACGTCAGTATACTCTCTGAATGTTACCAATGACGTCATCAACAAAATAGGTAAATTCACATCGTTCAAAGACTAAGTGTCGCGAGTTCTTGATTTTTTTAAAGAGTTGCTGTTTAATTTCTCTGCGCATGCGTATCGTTCGTTCATTTATCTCCTTATTAAGAGGTGTCAAAAACAACGCAATTGTTCCTTGCAGAGTATCGTCTTAATTTGTGAGGAATGTGAGCTATTAACTTGAATCGGTGAACAGAAACAAATGAGACAAACTTGCCCTGTGATTGGTAATTAAATACACCCCGGAGAGTTCCAATTAACGCATCGAACACCAACGTGAATGCGAACCAATATGTCGGCTTCCTTGTTTTCCGTTTGTTCCATTGTCTCATCGAAACGAACCGGATATTTTTTAACAACACAATAGGTAATATACGCGGGGATTATTTGCAAGAAACGCGTGAAAGTTTTGTTTCAAACAACGCTTTGATGGAACCGAATTTGGATGTGACGCGCGACTTGTCTGCATTTAGAGTTTTGAAAAGCTGAATGGAACAGTCTTGTTACTAACTTGCCGATATTGTGAATGAAAAAGTTTTTTTTTTATCTATCTGGAAACTCGATTTATGCGATCAATACATATGAAAGCTGTAGTTTTGGGCGAGTCGTTTTGATTTTAAGAAGCCGAAATGTACAACTTTGGGGAACCCTACACATGGTCCATAATGCTTTCCATGCTTCGGTTTGGGGGTCGAGTGTTTTTCACTCATATATGTGAGAAGACTATCAAAACGTCACATTAAAATTACATTTTGATCATAGTACTGTTATAGATTCATTGTCCTCACTGCTGACATATATTTGGATTCAAGAAATTTGCATATAACATTATACATACTGCCAAGCTAATATTGGTAAAATACCCCCCCCCCCCAAAAAAAAGAAGGTAGACCACTCTCTCAATTGAAGTTCAACGCCCGGATATTCAAATAAATATTAATAGTGTCTCACTTTAACTTGCGTATTTAAAGGGTGATTAATACTACTCGTAACTTGACCGTAAAATATTAATAGATTGGGTGTCCGGAGTGGTCTCGCGGGAGTTGAGGTCTGCTACTTAGTGTAAAGTGGTCAGGTAAATTGAACATTTGAATTGAAAGTTTGGATAAACTGAAACCTGTCTAGTTCCTTCAATGTTTACTCCAATAAGAACAGCCCGAACTGATGTCGTTTGGAGTGGAAGTAAACGGAAGCTCAGACCGGATGCTGAAATAACAACAATTTGTATCTGTATCCACTCAACACGTTTTGTGTTAATGTTTAACTAACTCGTCAAGTTGTTGATTTCATGCTTGCTCGCCGATTTTATTGCTGCAATGGGAGTCCACCATGCTGGTTCTCCGCGTTTGTGGCGGGGCGTTTGCGATTGCATGAAAGACCAGCATTACCGAATATACACTGGTAACGGTCCTGAAATCATGGACGGGGTTTACTGGTCCACGTCGGAATAAGAAAAAAATGGACTTACCCCTGTCTGTTTCCGGCTCTTAGGCGGAAAGATTCAGAGTACAAAATATCAAACTGAACTAATTTGGACTCGCTCTGCCAAAATATGTCCGTCAGAGAAACCGTACTTGTCACGAATGACTTTCGGGGCCCAAACAACACAAGTATATCGACGGAGGTGCACGCAGATGTCGCAAGGGACGCAGTTGCCATGGTGCACTGACCCAGAACAGTTACACCAATAAAATATTTGTATCGTGAGCGCCCCGAGTGTCGGATGTTCAAACTCGAAAGTTGGCTAAAATTAAAAACCGAAACGTAACAACTAATCACTGAACAACATTGGCATTGTTGAAGTTATACAACTTTTCAAAATACACAGAAAACAAAAATAGAATATCGGTGTAAATTTAATGGATTTATTGTTATTGGCTAAATACACACACTAGATGATAACTTTTTATTACTTTGAAAATATAGTCGTATTTGTTTGAGTACGTCCCGATTGAGCGAATTTTATGACGCATCGACCGGTGTCTCTGCACCATGGACCTACAGCCCAGGGCTACGGGTCGCTGTATTCGGACATATATCAATTGACTGTTGCATGGATGTAAACTATATATTACAGATTTTCGTAGATTTATCTATACCCGTAATAACACTAATATTGTTATTAACCCAATTCCCTGTACCAGACGCCCAGTTTTGAATTCGTGTCAGGGGTCACACGTTGCCTCGATCGCTTCTGGTACTATCGTGTGACTTTGCCTCGACAAAGGTATTCACCGAGGGCAAGTAGAACGCTCCATCAAATTCGAACGAGCAAAGAAAAAAACTGTACATAAGTTGGCTGTAGAAAAAAATAGGGAAAGAAACAGGACAGAACACGTTTATCTGCAGTAACAACGGACTGAATGTGGCCGGTCCTCCCACAACAAATTTATCTTTCTCGAAGAATACGGACTCAGTGAGTCGAAACGCTGCATGGTCGCAGTCACTGACTATTTACTGTTTCAGGCTTTTTCCAATAGAATACACCAAATTCATCATGGCGGACGTTCAAACAGTCAAATTAGTTATATTAGCTGCGAACCCGCACGGTTATTATGTACATCATTGCAGCTGGCACCGCTACATATACGGTACATGGTAACTTCAAATGGCCGCTGCGTAATCCCCTCATCTAGAGGCACGTGTGTAACACTCACGGACGGACGGTACTTACGGCCTGGATATGCACGCCACTAGTTACACAACAATCACACAATCGAATTCAAATATGCGACGATTGACTTGCCAATATCGTACGTGCCAACAATAACCGACCCCCACATTCAAACATTTGAAGAAAAATCGACTGTATAAACAACACTAACATACCCGAAGCAATCGAATGGAACGAACTAAAATGACCTTTCTTGAACACATATTTTCGAGAATGTAGCGACGGCGAGTACTGTAGCCAAACTCGCGATACTGGGTGTGAAAAAAAGTTGACAAATATAATTCCGATAACCATGAAAATCGTACACAAAATAATAGACAAGTTCTTGTCTGTGACATTTTTAATGAGGTCCAACCTCCCAAGAAAATAATAAAAAAAAACAACAACGGGAAAACGTCCCGTTTATTGAGTTATAAAATTAACGTAACACACCGTGTAATCAGTGAACCCTGCCGACAAAAATGTCACAGCCGTTAAATTTAGAATTCATATTCACTTAATCGGTAGTCCCCACACCTCCTCTTTCAAATATGTAACATAATTCATTGATGTGGGAGTAAATATGAACGGGACGCTGATTCAACTTCTCGACTTAACGTAATTATTAATGTCCTAAATAAAACGTTACGACTTCGACAGGCAAGCGCCCTATCACATAGGTTGCAAGTCGTGAAAATAAAAAAAAACGAGTAATAGCTACTATCAAGCTACCCCGACGAACGTAAAAAACAGCGTGAAAAAATACTGACATACCTGTCCTTATGTGCACTGACACGGCGGGGTTCCTACCTGGTTTCTATAGAAACACGTCGCCTCCCGAATCAGCCTTTAAACACTTAAAATAAGCCGCGTGCGTTAAAGCATGGGACTGACTCAGCTATGGTGTCGTCTGCGCACTGTGTAGTCGTCGGTTAAGCAAGTCTTGGATGAAGGAGAAAATCGTCGAGGCGAAACAAAAACAAAAGGTTGTCCAATATATCACTGTCAACGCATGGATCACACCCCTATCAGTTCACACAATGCGATGACATCTAACGGTTTAAGACTCGTCCCTCTGCCAACCAACAAACATGCACGCACTAAGCAGTCTTGTCGTCTGACCAGTTACTACACGAAAAAACAAAATTGCGACATGCAGCCTTAAACGTATGTCATATGTTAACATTGGTTGTCGTAAACCGCCTTCAAAAGGCGTTCACAGACGAATAATCGGACCATGCCGTATGTCGGAGACATTTTTTTTTTCCACAGATTACAAATTTCTAAATCAAATGCAACTCGCATTATATTTTTGCATGCTTAGTAAGCGCACAAGACTTCATGTAAAATATCCTTCTCGCCTCCTTGCGGCGTGGACGTACTGGGCGCCATCAGGGAAGGAATTGGCTATGCGAGCCACAACAAAATCAAGGGACACGAGACCTGTGTACATTTCGGTCGCAAATCATTTTTTTTTGTATTTGCGATGCAGTAAACTCGGTGAAATGTGCCACGCTGGTTTAATTGTGTGTTTAATTTAATACACCGTCTACTATAATTCGAGTCGGGCAGCAGTTCGACGTTACAAAAGGGGAGGGTATTTCGGCCCGACAGTGTACGTAGGTGTGAACATCCAGACAAAAGACGGTGTCAATTGATGAGGAATCACTGTCACTTCAAACTGATCAGTTAATAATAAGTCGAAAAAGAAGTTGTCTCTACAAGTTCCCCATCGCTTAAAGTTGTGAACTGGGCCAATGGCCGAATAATACTTGGTGCTAATTTACTTTTTTTTTTCTTTTTTACGCTTGTTTGCTTCAAATATCGATCACAACGCATGGCTTACATGTTCAAATTTGCCTGTCCGCGTTTTATAGTTGAGTATGGAACATAAACATGAATATGGACACAATAGTTCGATATTTAGTTACTCCACTGACAGAGAAATAAACGCGCACGTATTTTCTCTCGTAAACGGCGAGTTTTCTGTTCACCCAGTTGTGAAATATTTTATAGTTGACAGAAGGGGCATAAAAAGGGCATAAATCGACGCACTGGCGAACTCTCCTTTTCAAGTGGTATTCGGCAAGGATTCCTTGGAGTCTAACGGCGGCGGTTTGTCAAAGTCCCGTTGGCTCCAATGAGCTTCAGATGTTAGCCGCTCATAGTGAAACTGACCAACTCCGGCATCTCGGCAAGATGGCGGAGTTGACGTCACGAGTAACCTTGAAATGGCGATTGGAGCGGCAAACGGGAAAGACTTTTTTTTATTGCTTACGCTGATATACAATGCTCATACCTGCTCAATCGAGGCTTGCCTGTATAATATTGTCGACTTGCAGGATAAGGGTAATGCATGCCACGAAAAGTGTTCATTTATTGAGGGAAAATGTGGAAAACATGGATAAATGCCTGATTCATGTAAACGCGATTCGTTGCTTGGCAACTCTTTGAAACAAATTTGTCATTTGGATCTTAAGTATGGTAAATTCGCTCACGGTGAAAACAAAACATTCGAACACAAAAAAGCACACGAGTATGGTCACGGTCTCGTTAATGCCATCGTCGATTCCTAAAGGCCCTTCGCTTCAGGCACACTCCAAATTAGCCAAGAATATTTCTGCCATCGATCAGGAGAAATGAAATAAAAATATTGCCATTACCATAAAAACAAAAAAACAAATGAAGACATCCGAAGCCTATTTACAGCCATCGAAAGTGACCGATTGAGGGCGCACTCACGAAGATCATCGAACATTACACACGCGTGTATAACTGCGAAAAATTTTACAATCGGCAATTAACATCTCCCAGTTTTAATCATGTGAGAACTCGACATGGCCTTTTCATAGTACTGTATATATACATATATCTCATTTTTTGATCAAAATCAGTACTTACTAGTACTAGAAAAGATGACTTTGTCCGCCATGAATGACCGACTTGTTTGCACGATTTCAAAGAAATATGGAACGAAGCCAAAAACGAACGACAAAAAGCCGCCATAGAGAAAGTTGCGTATATGCAAGGCGTGCCAGATTTCTACCGTTTGGCAGCCCCTGGTGGTCACATGACAAATTGCTCACCGGTGTTTTTGTCGGGGCTTATTCATTTTTCATGCCAAACATGTTTCTGTGAAACTAACAATATGGTTAAAAACGTAGTAATTTTTGATTGTGTATTGCGTTTAGTTGCCATGGCAATTCATTAATCGGAAATCGCACAAGAGAACGTACAATACGGAGAAAAAAATAACGCCATATTGCAACAAGAGCGTGGGTAAATATACATGTTTATGAACTGCATTGTATATACATAGCATGGGTGCATTTACGAGGAGGGGAGGGGGGTTACCGGCGTATATGGATATTTCCAGACACGTGGCCGCGTGACGGACCCTGAGAGTTAAGACCACATCATAGTAATAAATAACACCGTTATGGACTGGAAACAGCCTGACATTAAACTGCAGACGAGAAAGTAATATGTGACCCACAGTCCCATCAAAAACACGACCAAATTGTTTGCACATTTGCGAGCGGGGAGTTATTGCACTGTACTTACCAAAAAAAACTGTCTGACACGGGGCGATGGACTTGGAATGACTTACAAAATACACACTCTTACAACATTTTATTCATCAAGCATACAGTATTGCGCGACACACGCGTCGATAATGGGGGTTAAAAAACGCATTTGTCTTACTGAAATGAAATTAACAAAAAAAAAAAAAACACAAAAAAAAAAAAAAACGGATGCGGATGGATGCGAAAATACCCCCAAGGTCATTTGGATCGTACAACCTTCATTAACTCAAGGACAAACTGAAAATGATCATATATGCAATCCATCATGTAACAAAAACGCTTATTTTTCCTCATAGGTAAAGATACTTCCGGTTAATAACGAGACTCATAGCATATACATTGTGTTTTGTAAACCCATTGTAAAACTAACAACCATATTGCCTCACGCATGCACGTGTTTTTGAGGAGGGCGGGCTCCTTCAGCTGCATACCACATATGTATTTTTTAAGTCTAAATGATTATTTCGATTTCAATCACCACTTTTTTTGTTCCATTTAATTTGTTTACTGGGAAAAATACATGCAATAGTGAGACCCATTGACAAATGTAACGGCAGTTTGCACAGGGCGACATAAAAAGACGTTTTAACATAACATCTATAAATCAAGTCGATGTGTTAATACTTCATGAAATCAACAAGTTATTTGTAAGGCACTATATTTCCTTCATCCTGCATCGGTGATGTGTCCTTGCCCAAATGTAGCAATGATACAATACCCTCCACTGCCGCAAAGCGACTACACTTGTAGATTTCCCCCCGCCTCTCCAACGTCTTCTATTGCCAGAAAACATTACGCATAGTAGAATTCAACTTAGCTATATCCTCGCAACGTAACATGAGGAATAGGTAAAACTAAAAGAAATTTCGTTATTACGACTTTTGAGTGAAGTATCCCCATAAATTAAAGTACTCAGAAATAATATTATATTTTTTACAATTATTTTTGGAACATACAATAGAATATTAATCACTGTTGTATAACACGTTTTAGTAACAACGTGACGTCAGTGGGCTGGTATTGGATAAACCAACGCGAATACGAGGCTGATAAATGTGGGCTCGTTTTGTATCGAAAGTTACACAAGTTCAAGATACAATCAAATATGATGGCGCTCTCAGCGACTGAATGTGTTTCGTGTACTTCTACGGAAAAGAACGAAGTGATAACAAACGCCAATCCTCGAAACAGTGCGGTCTCGCGAGACAAATTGTCCATGACGTCAATATACAAGCGCCCGAGTTGCACGAGACTGGGGACCGAGACTTGCAGAACTGTGAAAACTGTGAAAACAGGTAGTAACACGTGACGTCTCGTACCAATAAGAATGGATGCTAATTCATCGACAGTCGAAACACGAATTGTTGGAATTTTATAATAACGTTTTTCCCCCTACTGTGACTCATAGTCGATTAGCGGCGGATGGACGGTAGAGGATGATCTCAAACATTAATTCTGATTTATAGACCAGCAACCTCCTTTAGACGGAAGCCGACAGCAGTGGATTTCAATAATTTAGTCATTCTTCCGTTTCTATGGAGATTAGAATAAAATCGATGATTGTTCTCGGGTCGGTGAATGCCAACGAGGAGATAACCATACACCGTATTCTATTTTATTCGATTTGCTAAACTAGTACAAGCAGCTTACCAGGTATCATGTGACTTAACGTTTGTATTCCCAGCCGCCTTTGCGCGCCAGGTCCCGCGTTCGGTGAGGTGCGTTAGTAACGCGTGGTGAGCTTCGAACCTATATTTAAAGTAAAAGTATTTTGGGCCTTCAGGTCGTTTTTTTTTTCTAAAACATAACATTAATTAATTAATAAAACATAACAGTTAAAAAAAGAACGAGACATACTGCAGTATGGTTCGGCATACTGCCGTACCACGTGACCGAGTATGTCGCGAGAAGTGCAAAATTTCAAAGTTGTTCAAACTTGTCAGAGAATCAGTGAAATACGCACACATTTCCACGAACAAAAAAATCGCTTAAAACCAAACAAAAACGCTTTGTTTGCGACACTATTTGACACATATATTATTTAAAATTAATTTGTTTTCAAAACCGGTGTCTAGATTTTGAGTTATTCCAATATCAAAACAAACTCAACAATTCAAATCTTAATAATAATTATTTAAGAATAATATCTTGATTTGTAAGTTGGCCAATTATTAACTATGCACCATGGCGTTCAGAAGATCTGATATTTGATTGGTCAACTTGAATCAAGTCTAACTATATTCCTAGCATCAGCGCTCAGTATGATGCATTTCGGCTGCGGGTTATTTCCAGAAATCACCGGAAGCTTGAGACAAAAGGTCATGTATGTCAGCGATATTCTTCCGCATTAACCGGAAGTAGATAGTTTGAGTCCGTCCTGAGCTTGCACAAAAAAGTCGACTATTCCCAGGATAAATGAACAATTTCTTTTCGGTTAAAAAATAGAAAGTAGTTATTTTTAACATTCATATTAAACAGGTGAATATAAATCAAAAAT